AAAAAAAAAAAAAAAAAAACGAAGGGCCTAAGGGAATCAGTTGATTAGAGCTAAAATTAGAGGTTTCGATTAAGATTTGCTCGAGAATGAAATGTTTGAAAATGAAAACTTCGAAGCTTTGAGCTTTGATCTTTGAGAATGGACGAGTGTTTGTGAATGAAATTTGTTTGCATATGAAGATAAGGTTCAACCTAAGTTGTCGTTTGACCGTGATTCTAATTTTTGTTTTAAAAATTTGAATTAATTAATTGATTTTTTTAAAAAATAAATCTATTATTATTGAATATATAAACTAATATTTTCAAATGAGATTTTGAGAGAATTTGTTTTCAAATGAGATTTTGAGAGAATTTGTTGTCGTACTTCTATTCACTTTCGGAAAGGGAGGATTAAGAAAATCCTATTGATTGGAGCTTTCTCCCGACCTCTGGGAAAAGCATGAAAAAAAAGGCTTAAATGGTATGATCCCTCCATCATCCCAGAATGAAAGGGGCGATCTCATAGTTCTTGGTCTGTGAAGATACGTTGTTAGGTGCTCCGTTTTATTTTTCCATTGAGGCCGAACCTAAACCTGTGCTCAAGAGATAGTTGTCCATATACTGATAAGCGATGTATGGATTCTCGAGAAGAGAGGAGCTGAGGTGGTCTCTCCCGGACCGCCCAAATCCCATGAGTGAATAGAAAGTTGGATCTACATTGGATCTCACCTGAATCGACCCATCTATGAGGAGAAGTTTGGTTTCAAACCCCAGTTCAAACTGGAGAAGTACGCCTTGGTTAAAATTGAAACAAAATGGTCGATAGAAAATAAAATATATATTTTTTTTTAATTTTGTATTTAATAGTTTGGATTTTGTATCCAACAAATAATAATTCAATGTTGAAATATGTCCAGAATCTAGTCATAGGTAAAAAGTGAGGTAAAAGAAGGTAAATTGAAAATTGAGAGTAAAAAAAAAAAAGGTAAAAAAGAAAATTTACTGCGGAAACGAGTAATGATATCCATTTTGTCATTGTTATGTGGGTTGGACCTGATGGGCTTTTCTATCAGGCCCATCTACAAATCCAAAATCTTTCTTTCTCTGTCTCTCAGTTCAAACTGGGCTAACTTTCATCATGTTAAGTTCACAGATCTTCATTGAGCGCTGAATTCTCTCTCTGGCCTGCTTCAGATCATTAAGAACTTCAATTACCCGTTCACCGATCACCAGCATCATCTCGCCGGTTTCTGCTTCTTCCGGAGAGTTCACGGCCACAAGTGCGAGTGAATCGTCCACGGAATTGAATTCATCTCCACTATTTTCGATCTTTTCTTTCGTTGGAGCAAATTTCTGAATCTGAGAAACTCGAGCTGGTAGAGCCTCGAGCATTTGGATTCTCTTCGTCTGAATGAGAAATTTCACCGATGGTCTGCGAATTGATTGGGAGAGACGTTGCTGCGGTTAGGGTTTTCGGTTCATCTTCATCGCAAATTTCCGACGAAATTGACGGTTCTGAGTTCAACATCGTGAAAGAAAGGTTAAGTGATTCGAGCTTTTTCTTCAGTAATTGAAGCTTCTTTTCTGCTTTTGTTCTCATTTGATTTTGCTCTGTGATTTGCTTCTCTAACTCTGTTGACTGCAATATGTTTGATAAAATGCTTGAAAGAAATACAATAGGGAAAATGGACCAAATTATGATCTAAAGTCGGTTAGAGTAAAAATGAGGAGAACTTTGGCATTGGTAGTACCCTTTTGCCCATGAGCTCTGCCTCCTCTTTGGCAAGTAATGATGCTTGCCTCTCTGCCAGTAATCTTCTTCTCAGGCACTCCATTGTTTTCAGAACTTCACTACCTTCCATTGTGTTCCCACTGCCACAAAATGCACATCAAAGTTTAGAGAGATAGGTACATAGCACAAAACCCACATCACATTTTAGAGAAAAAGATAGATGGCACAAAACCTATGTCAAATTTTAGAGAGAAATAGATAACACCATTTCAGAGAGAAAGAGAGATTGGACAAAACCACTACCCAGATCAGAGTTTAAGTCTAGAGCAAGAGAAAGAGAGAGAGAGAGAGAGAGAGACCTCCATTTGATGTCCATCTTGGTACAATGTGCCATGTTCTTGGCCTTGGAACAACTGCTTGGATTAGATCTCAAATAGTCAAAAAAAGTGGAAAGATGAACTCTCTTTAACAAATTTTTTTTGAAGGAACTTTTCTGAAAATCTGTCTTCTTCAGATGCTGGAGATCCTGAGCAAAACTGGCATCTGTTTGGTAATTCTATCTTGATTCATCTATTTCCATGTTTAAACCTTCTCATTTATTCCATCCATTTATTGCTCTTTAAATACCAAACCCAACTCAACCCACAGTTCCCAATCATAAACATTCTGCTCTTTCAACAATAACAGCAAAAGGCAAGAATGCATTAAATATCCTTCCCTAGAACTGGTTCCCGGCTATTTCACACAGCTTGGATTGAAAGGGAATTCAAGCTCAATCTGGACCAGAAAAGTGTCTAACATTCCATTTATCTGACCTTGAATGATAGAAAAAATATTGGAAATATAGAAAATGATTCGATTTATCGTAACTTGATGATTTACGACTCGTTTGATAGTGATTTTGTCTCTAAAAATTATGCTTATAAATTACACAATTCAATAGATTTCTTTGTTTTGTCATCTGTTTGTGTTTGTTTTTTTAATTTTGTGATCTGAATGGTGATTTTTTTTTAAGCTTGAAATTTTAAAAATTCATTGCATTTGAAGTATACAAAATTATTGACAATATTTGAGATTTTATAAAATATTTAATTAATATTACAAATATTTTTATTATTTATAAATATATTATCAAACCTATTTTGACCAATTTTTTAAATTGAGATCTTATTTTTAAATTTTCTATCAAACACATCTTTAAAAATACTAAAAAATACAAAATACAATTATATTTTATTTATTTATTGAATCTCTTATTTTTTAAAAATTTTGTTTTTATATTTCAAATTTTATTCGATATATTTAACTTCTTGTTAACATAACCATGGAATAATTATAAATTATCAATTGAAAACTTAGGGGAGAAGATACCTATCTTGATATCAATGGTAATTCATTTAAAAGAAGAATTATATGTTAATTAATGTTCTGTAGGGTAAGAGAAAAACGACATGTAGTCTTATTTCCAGTCAAGAAGTGGGCCCAAAATACGTAAGGTTCGCCGACATTCCGAATTATACCGTGTGCGTTTACTATATTCCAAGAAAGACGGTGTCGTTTGTTACTCCCATCGCCTCGGCAAAACGAGGTGTCGGCACATGTGATCCTGTCTCTCCCCTGCTAGATGAATGCTTCCTCGGTACGTTATCTTCTTCCCTTCCAAACGATATGTCGTTCGTAAGGAATTAAGACCTTATTACTAAATTAATTGGTCCTAATTAATGTTTTAAAATTAAATAAAATGGTTGAAAAATCATATTCATTTCGAGGATAAAGCTTGCTAATTTTCTAGTCATATTATATATATATATATATTCAGCTAGAGAACAAAATTTTAAATTACTTGCACGAACTTTAAGAGGTAAGTATACTAAATAAGACTATGGATGCATTATGGAATATAGAAATTTCTTCTTAGGTTTCATTCTATATGTGGATATGGTTATTGATAATTATGAAAAATACTTGGAATTTTACTTTTATTTCTTTTTTTTTTATTCTTTCAAAAATTATAATATTACGACATGTTATTAATAACTCAACACTATTATAATAGTAATTTATTAGATTGTTTGGTCCATTGATGATTTGTCAATATGATGACAATTTAAAACTTGTTAGGATAAGGGTAAAAGAATCTATCCATTTCGTTCACTTTTTGTCAACATCAAAAATTAAATGATCAAGTGTAACATTGCACATTTTAAAAATAAATTATAAAGTTCTAAGGCATTCGTTATAATTTTTATTAACATCATGTTTAGAGAACGATAAAACACAAATTTTAGTTTTCTTTTATATAAAGATTACTTAATAGAGATTTAAACCTCTCACTCCATTAAAAAAAAAAAGAATGAATTAAATTTAAATTTGTAAACTTAGTATTGTACAATATGCTCTAGAAGGCCCCGTGACTAAAATGGATAAAAATCTGACTTATTTTGTCTTTATTTGTTAACCATGCCATTTTTAAAGCAAGAAATCTCAACCCACCATTACAGAACTATAATAAAATCTTTTTAATGAAATTGAACTTCTAATTATACGAACTGGATCTAAAGAATTAACATACTATCTTAATGAATTGATAAAATAAAATATTAATTTGTAAAAATCAACTATACAGTTCTAAAATATTCTGTACAACAAAAACAAAGCAAAAACAATGAATGAACGCTACAAAACAAAATACAAAAATGCTTATTCACAAGCAATCTTCCCTCTATTCCTAAACCCTAAAAAACAAAAAATCTCATTTGATCGTTTTTCGTCCTTAGGTGAACCACACGTGTCGTTATCAAACCCCATCTTCTCCCCTTCCCCTAACGGCGACCCTTTGTGGTTCATACCATACAGGCCTCTAGTTTTCCTCCGCACGTGTGAACTAGCCTAAACGTGTTAATCAAATCCCTGCATCTGGTTCTGTGATACTTCCGTAGAACGGTTCAATCTTGACCGTTAATCTCCATCAGATGAGGAGCCCACCTTGACGAGGATGTCCCAGAGCCGTTGGATCTCGCCGAAGATGTCATCTGTGGGAAGCTGAAACCTGCAACAGGGACACGTGTTCCTCTTCCTCAGCCATGGCAGAATACAGAGCCAATGGAATAAGTGCTCACAAGGCAATTGACACGCGTCTCTCCCTTCATTCATCTCCTCTTTACAAATCACACATTCCACCGCCATACAGCCGCCCACCGCCACCGACGGCAACTCCACCACTGCGACAGGCGACGCCGCCACCTCTCTCCGGGCCTTTCCGCCGTTGCGGCTCACAACAAATCCCACGAATTTCCAGCACCTGGCCACCGTCTCAATATACGGAATAAAGGCCCCGGCGCCGCCGGTGGCGATGCCAGAGATCGTCAAGAGGGAATCGGAGTAGATTCGACAGAGGGTCGATCGCCATTGGGTGATCGGAGTTTCGAGGGCGGCCGGATTATGCTGGCGTACATCGCAGAGAAGGAGGAGGAGGACGGCGGCGTCGAGGTCGCGAGGGGTAACGGCGGCGGTAGAAGGGTGGTGGGGGAAGGACTTCGACGGCGTCTGGAAGGGACGGGAGAGACGGCGGAGGGCTGAGAGAAGGAAGCGGGCGATGAGGAGAGATTTGTGGGAAAGGGAAAGGGAATTGAGGTGGCGGAGAGTGAAGGAGAAGAGGGTTGGGGAAGAGAGGATGAAGGTGAGGCGACGGCGGCTGGTGTGGACGTCGGAGAAAATGGAGTGGGAGAGATCGGAGAGATGCGGCGAAGAGAGGGTGGAGAGGGCGGCCATGATTACAGTGGAGGGTTTTAATTCTTCCATTATGGGATCTCGCGAGCGGATTGCTCTTCAGTTTAGAGGAGATGTGTGAACCTTTTTAATGTGGATCCCAAGTTACCCATTTGGCTGTTGTCTATTATCGGCTCAAATATTAAATTATCTTAATAACTGATTATTTAGATATTTAAAGAAAAAAAAATCTTATTTATTTATTTATTTATTTTTAACACTTGATGGGATTTCAGTGTCTTAATTAATAAGCTAAATAACATGTAAAATTTTAATTCTTAAATTATAATGGAATTTCAACTCTTCTATTTTTCAAAGTCTGTTAAAATCCCACTTTATTGATTTTTATTAGTTTTTTACATATTGGATTTGCTTTAATTATTTTCTTTATTTGTAATTCAAAGCTTAATTAAGTGGTTAAGTGAATTCCTTCAATAATGGAATTAAAATTTTGAGGTATTTTAGTTTTAGGTATATTCCATTATCCCTTTAATTTCCCTAATTTCTTTCCTTTAATTTTTTATTTCGAAATTGGGTAAGAAACACCAACCCAAATGTCTTTTTACTATTAATATTACTCAAACATACCGTATAGATTTAAAAAGAATGAAACAATAATTAATTAATCTCGAGGAGGTCAAGTATAGAACGTGGAATCATGCATAAATTTAAAGAGAACCAAACAATATTTGATAGTAATCGTGTTTATCTAAACTCTAATCATTAAAATCAGGTTATTTATTGATTCAATTCTAGATTATGATGATAAGATAGATGCTTTAACCATCACAAGTAGATAGAAATTCTAGTCACGATGGATTAACAAGCATAACTAACCTTTTCACGACCGAAAGATACCTCTTCTTTTTTTCGATGATTCTAAGAATTACCGTCATTAGCTTTCCATTTGTACCTAACCATCAAATAAAAGTAAATAATTTATTAACTTTCAATTAAAATCATGCGTCAAATGATAATAAGAACGAGAACGGAAACGAAAACGTTAGTTAAAACTTACCAGCCATATTAAATAGTTTCTCCGATGAAGAATAAAAATAGGAGGAGGAAAATTATTGATACGTATCATTCATTACTAACTATCTATTTAACCAAATCCATGCTATTATTGACTCCCTTTCTTTTCCATAAGCTGATAGTCGTTGCCTTTTTCTGTAAAACGCAACAAAACAAGCAGAAAAGAGTAAAGGGAAGGGTGGCCCATCCATGGCTCTTTCCTTTGTCCCCTCCAACCTAACACTCTTTCGTCAAAGCCGGTGGAATTCCACAAGACTCAACCACATGTGTAATCTCTCTCTCACCCTCTCTCTGCACCAATCGTGGCCCTTGTCTGCAAACCTTTTTCAAAATTCCCAGCTTAGCCTTGTGTTATGGGCAAAATACTTATTTTTTTCAGCAAATTGATAGTCCCACATGGTTTACAAATCATTGCCTATTTCCATGTGTTCTAAAGTTAGGCTGCATAGTTCTCAGTATGGCTGGTTCCAATCTTGCTACACTAACTGTTAGGGAGTGAAATCTTGTTTGATACATTGAAATATTGGGTTGATTCAAGTGAGATCTAATGTTGATCCAACTTTCTATTCATTCGTGGGGTCAAGACGGTTCAGAGGACCACCTCGACTCTTCTCTTCTCGAGAATCCATACATCCCTTATCAGTATATGGACAACTATCTCTCGAGCGCAAATTTAGGTTCGGCCTCAATGAAAAAATAAAACAGAGCACCTAACAACGTATCTTCACAGACCATGAACCACAAGATTGCCTCTTTCATTCTAGGGTGACGGAAGGATCGTACCATTCGAGCCATTTTTTTCATGAAAGCTCCGATCAATAAGATTTTAACTATTGATTTTTTAAATGATAATTAATGTCCTATCTAATATTAGATACGAGACAAGAAAGAGAACAGAAAGTACCAAAAGAAAATCTGTGTATAGTTGGAAATTGAAGATGGTCTAAATTTATTCACAAATTCCAAGATATCTATATTCCATGACATGTATCACAATAAAGTAAAAGATTTAGTGAACAAACTTCTTTTTAAAATGGAATAATATTGTCGGTCATACTTAGCTCAATCTCTATTTAATTTAATTTAATTTCTTTCACAGATCGTCGATTCATTTTAATATTGAAAGTATTGTTAAATATTAGTGGCAGTATTGCGAAAGAATTTAATATTAGAAAATTTTCATTTCAATACCTGAAAGCTGCAGCTTGAGGAAAGTTGGATAGTCTCAACTGGGAATGGTCTTCGCCAATTTCATCATCAAGGTAAGTGGGGCGGAGGTTTTTTCAGCTGAAAGGCATGATGATTAAGATTTCTGAAGCAAGCAAAGCAATGGGGAATGGCACGCCATCCAGTTAAAGATCACAAAATAGATACCCTGTTATAATCTCAAACAGTTAGATGAATTTTCCCAAAAAGAGGTGGAAAGAAAAGGAAAGAAAAGCAAAGCAATATTAAAGTCCAGTCACCATTCTCACTTTTGAAAGTGAGAAGTGTCACGCACCTCCGTTGAAAGAAATATTAAAGTGCATTCCAAAATCACCTTACAAGTATACAGAGCATAAAGTGTTGATTTTGTTGGGGTTATCGAATATTTTATGCAATAGCATCGATCTGGGACCATTTTCAGCTTTCTTTGGGTATCCGAAGTTAACGAAGCCTACAAGCTGCAGTGTTGTCTAGCTATCAACTAACCATCTTCATCAGGCTACTATTGTGTAAAGTTAAACAACCTTTCAACTCGCCACATACTTTGCTCTCATGTCAGAAATACAATCATTCTTCAATCATACTATTGTGAACCTCAAAGGTCCTTATTACTCACCAGCAGAGCCAAATCAGATTCCTTTTTATTGGTACTTGCGTTCGTGAATGTATTTACATCGTTGGGTTGAATGCTAGCAGCCCTCGCCATTATGCTTCTGTGTACCTATTGTCCCTAAGCATATCGCTTGGCTCATAAATAAGAGAAGGCATAGTTAAAGACCGGCAGAAGGGACGGTGGTCAATAAAGAAAGCAGTTCGCTAAAGCTAGGTGGTAACACACATGGTGAGATGAAATCAGTTATAAGTCCACAAGATATGAAGGAATAACTAATGCGATAGACTCTCCTGTTAAGAAACAAGACCTATGCATTCAAGGTCGAGGATGGTTGGGAAGGATGGTTGGGAAGGAGTCTCATTTCGACTGATTTAGGGAATGATGATGGATGTATAAGTAAGGAATACATCTCCACTGGAATGAGACCTTTTGGAGAAGCCAAAAGCAAAACCATGAGAGCTTATGCTCAAAGTGGACAATATCATGCCATTGTGGAGAGTCGTGATTCCTAACATTGTATCAGAGTCATGCCCTTAACTTAGCCATGTTAATAGAATCCTCAAATATCGAACAAAGAAGTTATGAGCCTCGAAGATGTAGTCAAAATGACTCGAGTGTCGACTAAATGGTGTACTTTGTTCGAAAACTTTAGAGAAGGAGTCGAGCCTCAATTAAGGAGAGGTTGTTCGGGGGCTCTATAGGCCTCGGGGGAGGCTCTATAATGTACTTTGTTCGAGGGGAGAATTGTTGAGAAGAAGTCCCACGTTGGTTGATTTAGGGAATGATCATAGGTTTATAAGTAAGGAATACATCTTCATTAGAATGAGGCTTTTTGGGAAGCCCAAAGAAAAACCATGAGAGCTTATGTTCAAAGTGGACAATATCGTACCATTGTGGAGAGTCGTGATTCCTAACATTCAAGCAGGGGATCGCGCGCCTGTGCGCTTTGCAATGTGGTCTTGTTTTATGTCCCATGTCTGCACAGTCCACATTTAGCTCATGTTGCAGACTATGTCCTTTCATCAACCCAAGTAATCCTTCCAACATTCAATAAACCTCTGGGGTCCTGTCGTTTGAAGTGTCTCTAGCTACAAACTCTGTAACCCTGCCCACGTTTCTGTCCGTCTAATTCCTGGGATCTTCTTCAATACAACTTCCTCCATCAAATCCCTATCCTAGCCAGATTTTTTCCACCTTCCAAACAGTGAATATAAGTTATCCATGATGATATTGTTACCTGTATTTTCAGGCTCGGTGTCAAGCAGACTATCAAAAACGCACTTTCCAAGCTCAACATCACCAGCAACGGAAGCCCCATTGAGCAAAGCACCCCAAACTTTTGTAGTGGGTTCAATTGGCATTTTAGAAATAAAGTCAACAGCATCGGAGAGCTTTTCTGCTAGACTAAGAACTCCTACCATGCAAGCATAGTGCTCGATTAGTGGTTGAATTCCATACTCAGGTAACAAGACGTTAAATATCTTCCAGGCTTCATCTAACTCCCCTGAATGGGCACAGGAACACACTGGAGTAAAGGCTACTGAATCAGGCCGAATCCCATTTGTCAGAATCTCATAAAAAAAACTCAGAGCCACGTTAGCACCTCCATTGGCAGCATAGGCTGAAATTATTGCTGTCCAAATGATTAGACTCCTACCTTTAAATTGATCACAAACCAGTCGTGCCCTGTGGAGGTAACCAGACTTAGCATAAGAATCAATGATAGCAGTGACAACACAAACATTCCCATCGTAACCGTTTCTAACGGCATAAGCATGAATTTCTTTCCCATCCTTGGTGTTGAAAAATGTGAGAAGATGGGAAGAACGCTCGCAAGTGTCATAGTATTCGGTCTGCAACCATCCAACTGCATTGCTCAAAATATATCTACAAGTCGAGTTTATTGGTTGCTCTGAACCAGATCAAAAATCACATCATTACTGTTTGTTCTAGCACTCAATGGTATAGTATTGTCCACTTTGAGCATAAACTCTCATGATTTTATTTTTTGTTTTTTCAAAAGGCCTCGTACCAACGGAGACGTATTTCTTACTTATAAATCTATGATCATCTCCTTAATTAGTCGACGTGAGACTCCCTTCCAACGATCCTCAACAATTACATCTGCTCGATGCTGACATTTTCAGTACTCGGAAAGAGATCTATTGCTTGGTTAACAAAACCATGGACCATGTAGAACGATATCATCGCGCCATGTGACCTCATCCTTCTCAGGCATTTCTTCAAACAACTCCCAAACATAATCCAAGCTACCGCACTTTTTGCATATAATCCAATAACAGCATTACATAATGAAACATCCACTTCAACCTGACGTTCATTGACGAATCAACGAACTTCCATTCCAAAAATGAGATAATTTGACTGAGCACAAGCTTGTAAAACAATGACAGCAGTCACTGCATTAGGCCTCAACTCCACTAAACTCAACATCTCTTTAAATAGTTCCTTGCATTCCACATAAAACCAACCCTGAGAGTACTCAGCCAACATCGCATTCCAAGACAATATCTCTCGCAGGCATTCTATCAAACACAGTTTTCGCTAACCAGCTAATTACACCTCGAGTATCAAAGCATAGACACAAAAAGATGAGACTCAAGCCCTCGTCGAAGAATGAAACAATGAACTTCCATTACCAAAATCAAATTAGAAAACAACAACGCCAACGCTTTCAAAACACAAGTAACCTTAAACTTATCAGGCTTCGCATCCATCGATATCAAATTAAACAAAGATAAAAACAGCTTCAGCATATCAGATTGCATATTGTGAAGAGTGTAACTCATAAACAAAGCATTCCAAGATAAAACGTTCTCGTAGGAAATGTTACCGAACACATTGTAGGCATCTCTAAGGCTGCCAGATTTTGATTAGAAGGCGATGAGCTTCGATCCGAGGAAATTCTCGGGAGCGACAGAACATAGAACAAGACGAGCGCGAAGCAGTTGCCGAGGCGGACGAAGAGGAAGTCGGTGCGAGCTGGATGAAGCGGCCATAGGCACCGTAGTTCATCCCGTCGTTGCGGCGGATTGCTTGCAGAACCCATGGATAAAGGGCGCTGGCGGGAACTGAGATTTGAAGGCTAGTGGGCTTCGCATTCGTCATTCAATTATCGACCCGTTAAGGTTATGGTTTACACTTAGGTCACTAAATAATTGCTAAATTATAGGAAATACCCCTCGCTTTGGGGTATTTCCTAATTTTTCAAACTTTTGGGGGTAAATGGTAATTATATTGTATAAATTAGCTTTAATAATACCCTTTGAATTTAAAAATACTTCATATTTTTTTTAAATATTAAAATAAAAAACTTTATCATTAAATTTTAATTTTTTTTAATATGTTAAAAATACCCCCAATATTTTAAAAAATACTAAAATTAAATAAAATATAATTTTCAATTTTTTTTCAATATAGTTTTAGTATAAAATATTAGCTATATTATTTAAAATCGTTCATTTTTGTAATTTTTTAATCATTTTCAAATTAAATATTGAATAACTCGAATTTATACGCCAATAAATTTATAGTAAAATGAAAATAAATAAATAAATAAATGAAAATTATAAAAATATGAGTCAGTATTTAAATTAGACCCAAAATGTGAGGACGAAAACATAAAAATCTTTTTGCAATATATTATTATTGGTTAGATAGGGACGTGAAGCTGCAATTTCATATGGGGAAGGCTTTTTCCAAAAGTACAATGAATTATATGTACAAATAATTAAAATAAATAAATAAAAAGACAAATTTGTTAAACGAGTCTCCACAATGGTATGATACTGTCACATAAGCTCTCATGACTTTGTTTTGGGCTTCCCTAAAACACCTCATACCAATGGAAACTCATGATCATTCCCTAAATTAATGGACGTAGACGTGAGACTTTTATCATCCAACAAAATATAACAAAAAATAATAGTTTTTTTTAGTAGGATGATGCGAAAGTAGAGAATTGATATCTACTCGATTTGATAAAATAATGGTTTTATTTAAGATCTAAATCTTAGGTTGGTCCATAAACATCGGATCTCGATAACATTTTGTATATTATTGTCTTAATATCACGAATAAATTATTAGTATAATTTTTCAATTTAAACTTAGTTGAGCTGTACATCCAAACTTGATTTTTTTTAGTTGAAAGTAAGAATTGCTCATCAATAATTGATATATCATGCAGGTGTTTATATGTCCAATAACTCGATCAACTCAGACTGCTCAACTTAAACTATAAATATTGGGTTGAGTTATACTTTATTTCGTTTCAATCATTTGAATTGGATTAAATTGGTTTTTTTTTTTTTTTTTTTTTTT